GTTTTTTAACAGAGCGATGTAGCTGAAGATTGACACTTTTTTAACAAGAGTATATCCATCTATGTATCGACAGGACTCAGTGATAAACATGCTTAAACACAGTCATAACTTTTGTTGAATTTAGCTGGTAGGAAATTGCTAATAAGGGAAAGGAAACTACCATTATCCAAAGCCAATTTACCATCATATTTGTAATTCACTCGATGATAATTAATATTCGTGTATGATATTCTGTGATATTTTCAAACATTCGATAGTGTATGGCATAAAGGCATATTATTCAACACTATGGTATTACTGATACATTATTAGCTTGATGTCGTGGTTGTCTTTCAGATAATTGCCAGAAAGTATTTAATAATGGTAGCTTATAGTAATCAGTTCATCATAGCAGGGGTCCCACAAGGCTCTGTCCTGGGGCCGTTCCTATTTCTAGTTTACATGAATCACATTACTGATCAGCTTCAAAATATTTCTTGGTTATTCGCCGGTGATACATGTATAGGAACTTCCTCTACTGATAGGGGTTTAATTGAAGATGTTTTAAATCAAGACTCACTCTCCCTTCATCAGTTGGCAAGGACATGGCTTGTAAATTTTAATCCAACTTAGACAAAATATACGCTTTTTAGTCACAAACAGGTACGGAATTATCCAACTATTTGTTATACTAACAGTGTCATTGAACATGTAGAAACTCACTAACACCTATGTCACTTTATCTCAAGATACGAAATGAACTTAACATGTTTCAATTATTGCTAGGTCAAACAGGACAAATTGTTTCAGCTATGGTAAACTTAAATACAAATTAAGTAGATACAAATCTGTCAAAATTCTGTCTGACGTTTATATGACTTTTCATGAATACTCATCTGAGGTGTGGGCCAACGGTCTGCCTATAATGAAAATACGCTTGAATTAGTACTTTTTGGTGCTGCTAGGGCTGTTACAGGTTTGACCAAATTTGCCTCAAGAGAACGTTAAATATTTCGAAATGGACTGGCTGCCATTAAATGAGAGACGAACAATGACGACAGTATACAAAATAATACTGAACGAATATCCCTCATGCCTGACTGATTTGTTACCTCACAAGTGATCAACTGCTTCAAATTATAACCTGCGTAACAAACATCAATAATGACATCAGTGTTCCTTTTGCCAGACCAAGTACGTTTCAAAAGTTATTTATATTAGATTAAATAAAACAGTGGAATTCACATAATGAAAATGTTAAAAATAGTTCTTCTATTCTTCTATCTAATAGTTGAATTAAAAAATATCTCAATGTTATTTGAGCTGCATATTGTTTCAGTTATGGTGTCATGGAATGATTGTGATAATGATGATGTGATGTTGATGATGATGGTGATGATGGTGTAATAGAATGGTGATGATAATGATGGTGTAATGGAATGACGACGATGATGATGATGACGGTGTAATTGAATGATGATGATGATGATGGTGTACTGGAATGATGATGATGATGATGGTGTACAGGAATGATGATGATGATGATGATGATGATGATGATGATGATGGTGATGATGACGGTTTAATGGACTAATGATGATGATCTAATGGAATGATGATGATGTAATAGAATGATGATGGTGATGTAATGAAATGATGATGATGATGATGGTATGATGATGATGATGATGATGATGATAATGATGACGGTGTGATGGAATGATGATGATGATGATGTAATGGAATGATGATGATGATGATGATGATGATGATGATGATGATGATGATGGCATGATGATGATGATGATGATGTAATGGAATGATGACGATGGTGATGATGATGATAACGACGACGATGATGATTGTGTAATGGTGACGATGATGATGATGATAGTGTAGGGATGATGATGATGATGATGATGATGATGATGATGATGATGATAGTGCAATGGAATGATGATGATTGTGTAATGGCATAATGAATTAAACCGGGATGTTTCAGATCAGAGAATGACAAGTTTTATCACACATCTGCCCATTAGAAAAATGAATGTACATTAATTTTAAGCTTACAATGCCTGATATATTTAAGGCATTATCAAAAATAATTGGTTTACATTCCATGGATTTGAAATTGAGATATTTACTGCCGTTATCTCCTGACAGATGGGCGTGGAGTATTGATGAGTAATAAATGCAGGCTGTTGAATAACAGTAGGATAATCTTGTAATCCCCACGACAGGCGGACATGAAGTTTTAATGCGTGTTGAATTGGAGTTGTTGCATCCCACAAGGTAAGAATAAAATCTTTCGTCATCATGAATTAAATGTATGGTTAGGAAAATCTGTTTTGACACCACTCACCCTGCCCAGATTAAATTAAATTATGTATAATATAGGTGTGAAACATAACTGTGTCTTTTACGGTACAGCTTATTATAATGTCTCATACTTGATAACCATGATAACGTAATACATATGTTCATTTTAGAACACATTTATTTCAGGAACAGCTTTCTTTTTTAACTCTTTTAAAACTACGTTTTGCCGATCAAGAAGACATAGACAGTGTCATGTGTTTGTTCCCAAATTGAAACAATATGTTTACCAAGAAATCTGTACGTAAAAGAACTTAGTGTGAAACCAACAAAAAACAAACAAATGGTATAACGGGGATAAGATATCAGTTCGCTATATCCGTTAGTTCGGTGTAGAGAGTTCGTTATGTACGTAAATTATATATGATAATATATAGGACATAAATCAGGGATTTTGTAACAGTTCGTTGTATCCGTTTGTTCACTATCCGAGTTCGTTATATCCGTGTTCCACTGTACAATGTATTACAAAATTCAATAGATTTACAAATCAATATAAATTACTGCACAACAATTACAATGGCAGTACACAATAGAGTGGCATCCGTCACCACTCTCGCCCCTTTTCGTAACCTGCAAGAAGACTCGTCCCCCTATCGATGAATGTTATGTGCGAAAATACGACAAACCAATCAGAATGCGCATCTGATTTCAAGTTCTTAGTCAAAGAATCCCTCAGAAATATTTTTTGATTTTACATATGTCCTGCATCTAAAAATATACCCAAGACACATTTAAATGTGTTCAATCATACTGTAGAATTCCGCACGTTCCGATGTGTTTAAATTGCTTCTGAAATATATATATATATAATCTATGGGGAAATATATGTGAGCCATTACACAACGAGTTGACAATGCGCACGTTTGCGCTAAGACGGAACCCGGTCGCAAAAATTGCCATGAGAGGGGCACGAGTCGCTATTCGGCTTGTCCCGGATTAACACGAGTTGGTCACGAATGAATAGAGTGGTAGTAATATGATGACGGTGATGAGTGTCAAATACAAAAATACAGTAGTGACAGGAAAAGTCAGAGATATTAATGTATTCACCCACCGGCGATAGTGGTCAATCTTCCGAGAAAGGACAAAGCAGGGAATCCGGGGTTGCAAGTGATCTTCACACGAAAACTTGTGTTGGTGTAACGAATTGTGTGATAGATACGTGAGGCACGCTCTTGTCCCCTTACATGCAGTCTAACTAGCTTCAGGAAATTTCTACACAGTGCCAACACATCACAAAATATTCCACATGTTTCTATAACTTTCAGTCCACGGTTTTCCGGATGTTTACACATCACACTAGCATTCGTGACAAAAACTCCGTGTTATTCCGGGACAAGCCGAATAGCGACTCGTGCCCCTCTCATGGCCATTTTTTACGACCGGGTTCCGTCTAAGCGCAAACGGGCATACCTAATACAATTGTCAACTCGTTGCGTAATGGTTAACATATATTTCCCCATAGATTATATGTATTTCAAATGCAATTTAAAGCACATCGGGACATGCGAAGTTATGTAGTATGATTGAACACCTTTAACTGTGTCTATATTGCTAGATGCAAGACATATGTAAAATCAAAAGTTATTTCTGAGGGATTCTTTGACGAAGAATTTGAACTCATACGCGCATTCTGATTGGTTTGTCGTATTTTCGCACATAACATTCATCGATAGGGGGACGAGTCTTCTTGCAGGTTACGGAAAGGGGCGAGTGGTGACGAATGATCACACTAGCATATAAATATAGTAACTTCCTCACAAGTACTTACTTTAAAAAGTACTACATTCTTGACAACTAATCATTGTCCCAATACAATGTAATATAGTTAGGATAATTGTTTAACAATGAAATATACTGCCATATGTCCACATGTCTTTCATAAAATGTTTTGAAAGCTTTATAAGGGACTTGAAATGTGAACCCCTAATGAAACGACATTTAAGCAAAAGTCTCGTGACGCTATTTGAATATACGCAGAAAGGGCATGCTCGAACGTTTCGAAATGTAGACAACAACGGCTAGAGCTGCTGGGCGTAAAATTAAATATTGGAAAGTTAACGAAATTGAAGTCCCGCTTGTCATACAATATTTAGAACTATCACTCGAATTCAAGCAAACCCTTTGAGTTTTTGAGAATCTATATGTATTAATTCCGCTTGTTCTAAATATTCTGTGTGAATATAAAAAAGAAACGTTAGAAATAAATCAATCAAATTCATCATATAAAAACATATAAAATGATATCTGCTAAGCAGGAGAGTGAATGAGTGAGCTGGCTTTAACTCCGCTTTGAACACTATTCAAGGTATCACGGGGAAAGCCCAAAGTGATTCAGGTCTCAAATATTTACCACTTCGGTGAATCCCACGAGCAGGGGTATAGTGCTGACAAACCTAGAAACATAATGGGTTTCGAACCCACGATCATATAGGCGAATTGCTCAGCGAATTGCGTTTCGACTAGGACACACGTGTCCCCTTAGAAGAACAGATAGCATTAAACAAGATACTAAATAATTACACATGCGCAGACGAAAACCAGGCAGACGGTTAACTGGTTTGCGGTGGTCCAAACAGATTTGTGGCTTTGAAAGATATTACAACACGCAATCAACCATAAAGAAGACAGCGCAGATGATTGGTGAATTCAGAAAGGGGTGTGTAGAGGGATATTTGGAGTGAGTGTATATACGTTATCGGAGATCAGTTGGACATCAGTTTCCACTGGCAACCTGCATAGAAGACAACAGACCAAGAAGAAATCCCCTAGACACCGGTGACACGATGACCAAGGTAGGCTTCGTGAAATCTTTTTCTCGTTCAGGTATTTTCCTGCACTCGCCTGCATATTCTTTTAAGTGCAGCTATCAAATTAGCGAGGGCTACCTCGGCAATATCTCGGTAGTGGTATATATGAAATATGGAACTGTTTGTCCTCTCGTCACTTCTTTGTTGTAAAGGCTCTTTGTGAATTTTACCTATTTGGGTTTACAGAATATGTAGATTAGATGGGTCACCTGAGCAAGCATAGGGACATATGTTACAAGTAAAATAGGGAATTGCATAAACATCATTTTTTTCTCTGATGCATTAAATTTGGAAATATTTTCTACATGTCTACCAGAAATCGTTATCAAACCTTTACTAAAGCCTTGACTTTCGATGGGTCACCTGAGCAAGCATAGGGACATATGTTACAAGTAAAATAGGGAATTGCATAAACATCATTTTTTTCTCTGATGCATTAAATTTGGAAATATTTTCTACATGTCTACCAGAAATCGTTATCAAACCTTTACTAAAGCCTTGACTTTAGATGGGTCATCTGAGCAAGCATAGGGACATATGTTACAAGTAAAATAGGGAATTGCATAAACATCATTTTTTTCTCTGATGCATTAAATTTGGAAACATTTTCTACATGTCTACCAGAAATCGTTATCAAACCTTTACTAAAGCCTTGACTGCTGTATCCCTGATCAAACAACTTTTAAGCAGGAGCTGCTCAACGATTTTTGAAATCTTCATAGAAAAGAGCACGCCGCTTGCACCCAAAAAGCACTGGAGCTGCTGGAATATTGCTCGAAATAAAGGGAATAGTTTTTGTCCCTCTGAATCTTTATGCATAGATCTATACATGAAACGGATGAGGCGGTCAATGGTTTCTTTCATTTCTAGCTAATGTGGGACAATCAATGGAAGGGAATTGACTATGTGACCATTATTTATCAGATCATCAACATACCTTGAAGCGTAAATTAAAGTTCTTGGCCGAATTCCCTTTTTAATTTTTTTTTAATCTGAGCATAAATTCCGTTCCATATGCCTAAAGAAAAAGATTAGCAAGAAGGGGACAGAAGAAGTATAGATATAACTATATCTACGTTCACCACATTGGTAATTAGGGAGACATAGGTCAAGAAATAAACTTTTCCATTGAATTTGTCATGTGAGGTTCCTTTCTGGGATTGCAAAATAATCGAGCCAATACGTTAAGGTTTTGAGAATCCACAAAATATGAATTCTACTTGGTTAGTTGTACGTTTGCTGGGCCCAGCAATATATCTTGTAAGGATTTTTTTTGAGCTTTGGAATTTAATACAAAAGAGAAATGGACATGTTTTAGAGTCAATCAAAAGTTGATAGTTTTGACTTGAAGCGTGGTTTTGAACATATTTCTTTAACATTTTCTTTACTTATAAGCAGCAGAAGCCAAGTTTTTGTACACAGTAGACGTAATTAAAAATAAACAACGTTTTCAGTTTCGACAAAATCAGTATATGCCCGACCCGTGAAGATCCGGGGTAGAATAGGTCTTCAGCAACCCATGCTTGCCGTAAAAGCGACCATGCTTGTCGTAAGAGGCGACTAACGGGATCGGGTGGTCAGGGTCCCGTTCCACAAAGCGATCTTAGCGCTACGACTGCCGTAAGTCTATGTTAAATTATGGGAGTTACGATCCACTTAGCGCTGAGATCTCTTTGTGGAACGGGGCCTAGGTTCCCTGATTTGGTTGATCGTATCCCAATTGCGTGGATCGAGGCTGATGATTTCAATCACTGGTTTATCGGGCCCAGAGCCGGAATATTGCTGAGTGCGGCGTTAAACAACAAACAAAACAAAAAAAGTATATGCGCTTTCGTGTCACTGGATTTTCTGGTCCGTCATTGGATTGTCTGGTTTGTTTACTGGGCGCCGTCGCATGACAGAGGGCCCTTTTCGCGAACACATGGTGTCACTATTGGTTTTGGGTGATCCATTCCTATAGTTTTGCCTTTTACGCATAAGGAATCTGTTAACACTGACTTTTCTTCCGGTGACGTTGTATAACTCTCTGAGTGAGTGAGTTGAGTTTAACGCCGCTTTTAACAGTATTCCAGTAATATCGCGGCGTGTCAGCTTAATGTGGGAGGAAAGACCGAAGTGATGCAGGTCTCAGACGTTTACCACTTCGGTGAAACCCACGAGCACGGTATGGTGCTGACAAACCTAGGAACATAATCGGGGCGAATCTGGATTCGAACCCACAATCATAGGTTTCTGGCGTGCCCAAGGGACGCAACTCTGCACAGCGAATCGCGGCGCCTTAGACGACTGGGCCCCCCGTGCCCCCCGTATAATTCTCTGTAAAATCTGAAGGACGGCACAAACAGCATGTCTCGCCCCAGAAAATAAAATGTTCAACCAACATACCGTTTTAGTCAAGACAGCAGCCGGACAGAAACACGTGTATGGATGGATGGGTGTGGTATGCCCCCCTAAGTAGTCATACAGATAACCACGATGTTGCCAATGTTTTTAACTCTTTTTTTTCTTATTTCCATGTACAGATGCTGATGCTGTCCATTTTGGTTGCAATTTTCTTCAGTGCATGTATGTGTGACTCTACTGGGCAAAACGTAAGTATAATTAGTTTTATATGGTTGTGAGATTGACATTTGTGCTCTCGTTCAGATGTGCAATATTGTTATTATAATAATAATAATAATAATAATAATAATAATAATAATAATAATAATAATTATTATTTCGAGGTCTACGTTAAACTTACCTACATCGACCATCTATCTGATATTAGGGCCATTTATTGGGTATAGTTGTTCAATTAATACATCCATAGAACTCGTCTTACTTTATCACTCCAACTTCTAAATGCCACTCAAAGAAGTAATACATTATCGGTGCCCATAAAATAAAGTTTGTTGTCATAGTGATGTTTCAGGTCCATATTGTCTTGCCTTTTAGGAGTGCACAGTAGAACGACTTGAACCTACAATAGAAGCAACGACATGCGGTGGATGCACAACCATCCGATACACCAACGGGACACTCATTGAGATACAGTTTTTCACAAACGAGGTACATGATCCATAGATGTTCTGAACACCTTGTCTTTTAAGAATTAAAAGTAACTTATTTAAAAAGAAAACAATCGTAAAGCTGTGTTTCAGTTGCAAAGGGTAAGGGTTTTTGGAAAGGAGGGGGTGCAGTTCACATACAACATGCTAAATGAATGCAAAGGAAATTGCGAAACAATCAGCGTTTCGTAGATGTGTCATTTCTGGAACATGTCAGGGACCGACCATTTGACATTGTGGGGTAGATGAAGAGTACTTAGTGATTTTTCAATACTCACCAGTTTGTGATCCAAAATATTATTTGATACTCTCAGACGATGACTGTGGCCCAGGTAGGAGATGACACCAACTCATGCTACGTACAACGCCTGACCCTGATGCCAGAAGGGGTAGGTTACACACTCAGTCATATCCTGTTTCCAAAATTTAACCAGTAATTTCATCAATCAATTAAAAAGCAAAATATGTTTTGGCAAATTATTTTCATTTGCTACAGATTGATTATGCTGAGACTACTTTGACTGAGGTTGCTGAGGATGCTGATGAAGATAAATCTGCCGCAATCCAAGCTCTTGTTCCCGAGTGCCAAGGTCGGAACATCAAAATCTTGGAGGAGGCAACTGAAGAACCTAACACAAGTACGTGGATTAAGCCGTTATATTTTGTATGTCACCATTGGCATGAAAGATTGGGTATTGGTGTATTTTAATCAATAGAATAACAAAACCCAAATTATGAAACGTTGATTCTTAACCATCTTCTTTACTTTCATTACTGGGGACCACAAACGTAATGTTGTAACCAAAATATGCATGTTTGAACATCAAAACTAATTCATAAACGGGTATATAATATATTATTCTATTATATTTCAATCGAAATTTGAAGCCGACCGCCTCCGTGGTCTAGTGGTAGAGCGTCCGCCCGGAGAGCGGAATGTGCGGTGTTCGAACCCCAGTCACGTCATTACAAAAGACGTTAAAAGATGGTAGTTGTTGTTACCCTGTCTGGCGCTCGGCATAATGGGGCTAAAACAAGGACTGGTCGGCTCGGAGTCAGTATTCTGTGTCTGAGTGGGGTATTCATGTTAAACTGCGTCATGGTACAATTACCCTTGTGTTCGAAAGAGAGCAGTTTTATCAATTTTTTTCTGATCCTGATTAGAGGCAATCGACAACCGTAAAACTGACCATCCCTTTTCAATTGAAATTTGGAAATGTCATTTGAATTTGTCCGTGAGAAGCAATGACTTCATCTTTTATTGGCTTCCCAGTAATGTTGGCATCAAAGGAAGTTCTAAAGCAGATTCTGCAGCTGTAGCTGCTCTTGGGAAATCGGTATCCAGAGGTACTTTTCCATATACTGACCAAAAACCTGCTGGTTGCAAATATGTTGCAAATGTGTGACAGCCAAGGTGGAATAAGCTTTAGTAGTATTAAATATGCTTCATGCCATACACCACTTGATTGGGTATCATGCCCTCTCTGGATTAAGGCGTCAGGATGAAGTTGTGATCCGAAGATCCGAAGATCCGAAGATCCGAGTCATTTTACTCATTCTTTTTGTTGTTGAAGGGACGGGATCCCCTCAATGTAATCCTACTCAATGTCCTTTCACTATCAAGTATCTGTTGTTGGAATGTGTGGATTTGGCACTTATTCGTCAACGTTTTTATGTTCAAACTCATTCTGAACTCAATGCCGTTTATAACTCCTTAAATTTATCCTATTTGAAGGAAATTAAACTTGTAAATTTTAAATTTTGAATTGTAGTTTATGCTGTTTACTGTGTTAATAGACTGAAGTTTAAGTGAACTTCGTAATAATTTTTATATAATGTTCTTGTCTAAAGGAAACTGATTTTTTTTTATTGCCGCGAATAGCTGGAATATTGCTGATGCAGCCTAAAACAACATGTACTCACTCACTCACAGTATTCTTGAACATCCATATATCTTATCCCTACTCAGTACTCCAACTTCTAAATGCCTCCCAAAGAAGTTGTTATCCGTATATCTTGTCCTTACTCAGTACTCCAACTTCTCAATGCCTCTCAAAGAAGGTGTTTATCCATAGATCTTATCCTTACTCAGTACTCCAACTTCTCAATGCCTCTCAAAGAAGGTGTTCATCCATAGATCTTATCCTTACTCAGTACTCCAACTTCTCAATGCCTCTCAAAGAAGGTGTTCGTCCATAGATCCTATCCTTACTCAGTACTCCAACTTCTCAATGCCTCTCAAAGAAGGTGTTCATCCATAGATCTTATCCTTACTCAGTACTCCAACTTCTCAATGCCTCTCAAAGAAGTTGTTCATCCATAGATCTTATCCTTACTCAGAACTCCAACTTCTAAATGCCTCTCAAAGAAGTTGTTCATCCATAGATCTTATCCCTACTCAGTACTCCAACTTCTCAATGCCTCTCAAAGAAGTTGTTCATCCATAGATCTTATCCTTACTCAGTACTCCAACTTCTCAATGCCTCTCAAAGAAGGTGTTCATCCATAGATCTTATCCTTACTCAGTACTCCAACTTCTCAATGCCTCTCAAAGAAGGTGTTCATCCATAGATCTTATCCTTACTCAGTACTCCAACTTCTCAATGCCTCTCAAAGAAGTTGTTCATCCATAGATCTTATCCTTACTCAGTACTCCAACTTCTAAATGCCTCTCAAAGAAGTTGTTCAGCCATAGATCTTGTCCTTACTCAGTACTCCAACTTCTAAATGCCTCTCAAAGAAGTTGTTCATCCATAGATCTTATCCTTACTCAGTACTCCAACTTCTCAATGCCTCTCAAAGAAGTTGTTCATCCATAGATCTTATCCTTACTCAGTACTCCAACTTCTCAATGCCTCTCAAAGAAGTTGTTCATCCATAGATCTTATCCTTACTCAGTACTCCAACTTCTCAATGCCTCTCAAAGAAGTTGTTCATCCATAGATCTTATCCTTACTCAGTACTCCAACTTCTAAATGCCTCTCAAAGAAGTTGTTCATCCATAGATCTTATGCTTACTCAGTACTCCAACTTCTCAATGCCTCTCAAAGAAGTTGTTCATCCATAGATCTTATCCTTACTCAGTACTCCAACTTCTCAATGCCTCTCAAAGAAGTTGTTCATCCATAGATCTTATCCTTACTCAGTACTCCAACTTCTCAATGCCTCTCAAAGAAGTTGTTCATCCATAGATCTTATCCTTACTCAGTACTCCAACTTCTCAATGCCTCTCAAAGAAGTTGTTCATCCATAGATCTTATCCTTACTCAGTACTCCAACTTCTAAATGCCTCTCAAAGAAGTTGTTCATCCATAGATCTTATGCTTACTCAGTACTCCAACTTCTCAATGCCTCTCAAAGAAGGTGTTCATCCATAGATCTTATCCTTACTCAGTACTCCAACTTCTCAATGCCTCTCAAAGAAGTTGTTCATCCATAGATCTTATCCTTACTCAGAACTCCAACTTCTAAATGCCTCTCAAAGAAGTTGTTCATCCATAGATCTTATCCCTACTCAGTACTCCAACTTCTCAATGCCTCTCAAAGAAGTTGTTCATCCATAGATCTTATCCTTACTCAGTACTCCAACTTCTCAATGCCTCTCAAAGAAGTTGTTCATCCATAGATCTTATCCTTACTCAGTACTCCAACTTCTTAATGCCTCCCAAAGAAGGAAGAAATGTTAATCAGTCCACATAATTTTTTATTACCTCAGATTTCAGTTTCATTCATAAAATATTTTTCTTTGCAGGAAGAAAGAAGAGACGGTGCTTTTATTATCTTCGCTGTACACAGGTGTTTCGTTTAGGGCTTGGGTGGTTCAGTTACTGTAGATATGTGTATATTTGCAGACCATTTTGGGGTTAATAGAAATAGTTAGCTTGAATAACATTATGACCATTTTGTTATGTTCTATGTTTGTCTCAATTCAATGACTACAAAAATACATATTAATAATTTCCTGGCAGGTGTCAAATTGTATTATCCAGTCGAGTTCTAGTGATATTTGCAAAATATAATATTTTTGTCCATACTAATTAAACTAGGTGTTTTGACAATGCGAAATTCTGTACTAGTTTTGCAAATATGTTTTTAATTGAATAAATATTCATCATAGACAAAGAGTATTGTCGTTACTGTGTTGAGGGTCCCATCACCACTATGTCGTCTCTGTGTTTTGGGTGCCAAGCAGTTACATAAACGTATTGCCGTTTCCGTGTCGCCATTGTCAGTTGAAGACATTACTCTGCCACTCGCATGGTCGTGAGGGATTCCAGCATTGAGAGGGATGATGGCGTTTGCTCCTGATTACCTACCTAAACATTCATGTACCAGTGCACACGCATATAAGTATTAACACAACACAAGGTATGATACCATGAAAAAACTATAAAAAAACTATACTAAACTCTTAAGACCACCCCTTAACACTAAACTACTTGGGCAGTACAGGTTTATTCGGAGTGGGTAACTGGAACGACCGAGGTTCGTCTCGACAAACCGACTGTGAGACCTGACCCGCTCTCCTAACGCTGAAACCGCCTCGAACCAAGTGCTCGGGCGTGACCCGCTTTTGTCACATGTCCAGATACATCCTTTTTTGATTTCTCATAAACCATATCAGACCGTACCTTGACTCCCTGTTTGTATCGTGATCGGAAAAGTACCGGTAAGTCATCCCATATAGATTCCTTTCCAGATCGATGTACTGCCTATCTCACTATTAATACGGGGCGGTCGGGTAGCCCAGTGGTTAAAGCGTTCGCCCATCACGACGAAGACCCGGGTTCGATTCCCGACATCCGTACAATGTGTGAAACCCATTTCATTAATACCTATAAAAGAAAAGGCGAATATGCCCATATGCCAAATATACTTACATGCCAGGGAATAGGAGAAAAGATCCAGTGTTACTTCGAAAATTACAAAGCACATGCATCACATATCTTATCAAGACACAGTAAATAATTAAGTAGGCGGTGAGGTAGTCTAGTTGTTACAGCGTTAGCGCTTCACGCCGAAGACCCGGTTTCGATTCCCGACATGGGTACAATGTGTGAAGCCCATTTCTGGTGTCCCCCGCCGTAATTTTGCGGGAGTATTGCTAACAGCGGTGTAAAACAATCCTCACTCACATAATTAAGTAATCATGATTGTTCAATGTCAAATGTCAATGCACACGGCCAAAATATGGCACCACCATTCACGAATGTTCACATGTCGCTGGTCATAATCGGATCCACTGACCATTTCCTTATCCCAAACGTTACGGTGTTTGTGTCGAACGCTGTCAAGGGTGTGCGTGGCCACAACGGAAAGATGAACGTCCGAATACAATGCTTCTCGCATCACAATGAATTATTCATTGTTGAGACATCGAAGGTAGAGTGGAAAAGTTCTGCAGACTGCGGGAGTGTTCACAGTTTATTGTCTGGGGATGTACATACACTGTACATACATCTTGTCCCGTGAAGATTCCGGGTTAGAATGGGGGGGGTCAGCATCTGCAGCTATAGAGTTCTGCAGTGCGTTGACAGATTTGATTACCCCGAGTGGCTTGTGGTATGTTCAGCGACGGCGGTCGTGGGACAGTGTTTGGGACCCACAGCCAGAGATTAACCAGATGAAAGATTTGGTGTGGATATGACAACAGCGGGGCAAGTACTCGACTTTCCCCTCATTGGAATGGGTTCCGGCCATAAACCACGACCAACGTGTTAGTTGTACAATGCGAAGTAGAGAAAGCATTTACACATGTAGAATACTGACAAATTCAAGTAAGTCTTCTTCCCGTGAAAACATCATTATGTGATCAATACATAGTATTCTGCAATATGTTTTTGTGGTTGTTGTTTGTTTGCTTGTTGTTTAACCCCGCACTCAGCAATATTCCAGCTATATGACTGCGGTCCTGTCAATCGACTGCCAGGGTTATGCCGAGCCTGTGCGTTATCTTTTTTAGCACAGATTTTACCCAATATCCTTCTCATTTTGCATATTCTTCTTCTGCATGACCAGTCGATTGATAGGACCGGGCCATCCTACCACCTGTCGAAGCGAAGTAAGGGTCGAAGTGGTGTATTGGAAAAAGGAACGCTATTCCTGGAACCAGTGCCCTCAACTGCCAGAATGCCTTTCCCCACCTAAACAGGGGCGCAGCCCACGACAAACGGGTTGCCCAATTCGGTCGCCTTTTGCAATTTTTAAGGATACAACGGGGTTTTGATCCTCATCATAGACATTAACATATGTTTAAATACAACGAAGTACGAGTTAATGATCTACTTGTACGTATGTGCAAATGCAAATTATTGCCACTACTTACTGTATACTTTGTCACGATATGTCTGAAATATTGCCGATGTGACGGTAAATTGAAACCACCATCAGCGGATCCTGACCTCTAAGGGACGCAACTCTATATATCATATCATGATCGAGAACGTTGGCAGTATTCTAAAACTGTTGAAAGCTCCGTAAAAGTCACTTACATGGACATCGCGGGTGTCCCCAAAACAGCCGCACAGCTATTCTAGATCTGTCAGGGTAGATTGTGGGTAACAGCTTCTCTAGATCTGCCAGGGTAGATTCCGGTAAACAGCTACTTTAGATCTACCAGGGTAGATTGTTGGTAACAGCTGCACTAGATCTGCCAGGGTAGATTGTTGGTAACAGCTGCACTAGATCTGCCAGGGTAGATTGTTGGTTATAGCTGCACTAGATCTGCCAGGGTAGATTGTGGGTAACAGCTACTCTATATCTGCCAGGGTAGATTGTGGGTAATAGCTACTCTAGGTCTGCCAGGGTAGATTGTGGGTAACAGCTACTCTAGATCTGCCAGGGTAGATTGTGGGTAACAGCTACTCTAGATCTGCAAGGGTAGATTGTGGGTAACAGCTACTCTAGATCTGCAAGGGTAGATTGTGGGTAACAGCTACTCTATATCTGCCAGGGTAGATTGTGGGTAATAGTTACTCTAGATCTGCAAGGGTAGATTGTGGGTAACAGCTACTCTAGATCTGCCAGGGTAGATTGTGGGTAACAGCTACTCTATATCTGCCAGGGTAGATTGTGGGTAACAGCTACTCTAGATCTGCCAGGGTAGATTGTGGGTAACAGCTGCTCTAGATCTGCCAGGGTAGATTGTGGGTAACAGCTACTCCAGATCTGCCAGGGTAGATTGTGGGTAACAGCTACTCTATATCTGCCAGGGTAGATTGTGGGATCTCTAATGTTAGAGATAACTTATTCTTTTTAAATTATTTTAAAGAAAGCCTCGTTGATAAAAGGTACAGGCAGACTACAGCTCGTCAACATTAATATGTAGTTGGCTATAGTGTCATTTATAGCCGACGGCATGATATCACAAAGGCATGATAACGTTTTTCTCTTCTTTCTATTTAAAGACAGATACTATTTTTACCGACCGTCTCCGTGGTTCATGAAACAGAGCGTCTGGCCGGAGGGTCATTCGTCAGCTCCAAATCGTGATATTTTAGACCTCTTGCGATACTTACAAATTTGATTGCAACAGACCAAAATAAAGTAAAGATATATGTTAAACATAAGTCATTTTCATACAGATAAATTGAATATTATTTTGTTATGAGATATTAGAATTTGTGGACATGTAACTATAGAGATAGCTGAAATTGCTCATTCCTTTTTTTCATGGTATTCAGGGATCATGTCAAAAGTACAGAATGTAAGTGTATGTGAGTTTAGCTGTCTTTAGACAGGTGTATCAAATGTCAGTTTTTATTAATAAAAATCAGTATATAAATGTGACTTTGTCAAACATTGCTCTGGGTATTAATTCAATGTAATACAGTATAGCATTGACATATATGGAGACAACCCACTTTCATAACTAGTGCTTTAACAATAACAATTTTGCTTTATTAGCATATTAACGGGTGGAAATGTGTGGATGGATTATAAACATCAATATTAGGGCAGCGGTAATATATTTATAACGTATTTAATCGCTATTAATATTGGGTAGTTTACTGTTTCTCCCGGTTCGCCCCAATTTTGTTTCTAGGTTTGTCAGCACCAGACCCGTGCTTGTGGGTTTCACCGAAGTGGTAAACGTCTGAGACCTGCATCACTTCGGGCTTTCCTCCCACATTAAGCTGACACGCCGTGATATTACTGGAATACTGTTAAAAGCGGCGTTAAACCCAACTCACTCACTCGAACAAAACAATTCGATATATGTAAAAGAAAACTGTCACATAAAAGGAAGCTATCGTTTACAAGATCAGCACTAAATACTTACAGACATTGTAACACAAAACTTAATGTAATCAATATTAAATGACCAAATGGGTGACGTACATATATTCTGGTTTATTAAACCCGTAAGAGATTATGTTACACGCACACAATGTATTCAGTTAAATACCAACTGTACCAAAGCTATTTATTTTATATCCAGAACGTTAGTTTTAACTCAGCGACACGTCTTTATATTAGTTGATAACATTGTAATTTTCCTTTCATAACACCTTAAATTTGAAAGCCGCACAAAGCAATATGCCATCTGTCTGACGGCTGATACGACATAATCAAGACTTGAGGCAAACTAGTAATTGATCTTTTAAGCAACGATCGACGCGGTCGAGACACGATGATACGCAATCAACCAAGCTACCGAGTCTGACCATCCAGTCACCTCTTACGACCGAGTCTGACCATCCAGTCGCCTCTTACGACCGAGTCTGACCATCCAGTCGCCTTTACGACCGAGTCTGGCCATCCAGTCGCCTCTAACGACCGAGTCTGACCATTCAGTCGCCTTACGACCGTGTCTGACCATTCAGTCGCCTCTTACGACCGAGTCTGACCATTAAGTCGCCTCTTACGACCGAGTCTGACCATTCAGTCGCCTCTTACGACCGAGTCTGACCATTCAGTCGTCTCTTACGACCGAGTCTGACCATTAAGTCGCCTTACGACCGAGTCTGACCATTAAGTCGCCTTACGACCAGCACAGACTACTTTGGAGTCCCCGCGGGTTTTGAATATTGCCATGGTCTCACTGTGTTGTTGTATTATGTTTTGAAATATTTCGATCTCTAGACACGTTGGATATGACATTCCTTAATAATCTTTTGATA